CCTAGAGTACTATCAAACTTCATGCAGGTTTTAATAATATTGGTATGTTATTTTATGTTTATTTGTTTATTCATCAGATTTTTATTGAATACATACTTTGATCTAGACCTTAGGCTGAGCAGTGGAGATAAAGTAGATTAGCAATATAGTTACCATCTCTCCCCTTCTATAAGTTTATAGTTTGAAAAACACTACATTTTCCTGCAGTTCTTTTCATTTTCTCTCAACATCTTGCTGTATTTCATTTTCAACTGAAATGTATATGTACTGAGTTTTTCTTGACTACAATAGTATTGGCTTAGTTATTTAGCTTTTTGCATTTTTCAATTTATAGTGATTTTTTTTATTATTAAGTATTCTTTATTTTTGTTTCAAAGGATTTCTTCATCTTTGTTCTTGAAGAATACCAATTTGGTCTCATTTTCCTTATTTGGCCAATGATGTTTTGTTTTGTTTTTTTATATAACTGTTTTGTCTCAAGAAGTCTTTTATGATAATTTTGATTCTTACTAATGTTCTTATTAATATTTTATTTGTTGTTTCTCATGCTTCCTCTAAGAGCTTCTTATTTTATTTGTTAAATGTTCTATTTAATTTTCACATGTTGTTTTTCTTTGCTACAGCAACACCTTTTCTGCAGCTGTCTTTTTGCTCTCTGACCCTACCTCGGGGGCACTCCATTGGTTCCAGTGAAGAGAACTAGCCTCACCAGAAAATAAAACATACTATAAGCCACTATAATTCAGTCAATATGGCACCTGAACAAATCTAGACAAATAGACCATTGAAATCATAGCAAGCCCAATTTAAAATATTTGGGGATTTAATTTATAATTAAGATATTCTAGCTTAGTAAGAAGACAATAGTCAATAAATGAGTGTAATATGACTGACTGGACAGCTGGAGTGAAATTAAGTTGGAATATTTAAAAAATAAAGAAAATTCATATCAGAAATAGAGGGAAGACATAAAATCAATCCATCAATCTTAGGAGAAGGTCTAGTAGACACTTTCTCAGACAAGCAACCAAGAAGCTAAAGAAAAGATAGGCTAAAGAATATTGACATTTTAAATTTTTGTTGTTAAAAGACATTGGTAAATAACCCAATAGAAAACTGATGAAAGGATGTGGGTAGGTAATTCACAGAAGGACAAATGTTAATGGCCAACAAACACATGAAAAGATATTTGAATTCATTAGCTGTCAGAAAAGTAAGTTAAAATAACAATATCAGCTGGAGTTGTAGCTCAGTGGTAGAACGCTTGCTTCTCACACGTGAGGCACTGAGTTCGATCCTCAGGACCACATTACAAAAAATTTATTATGGCCATCTGCAACTAAAAAATATTTTTGTAAAAAATAAGAGTGCCACTTCATAAATATCTAAAGGAACTATAACATCACTGCAGAGGAAACTGGTTAAGTCCTCTGTTGTTTGCAGATATATGGGAATATGAGTGTTTGGCCCTATTCCAAGGAATTTATCCCAAAGAATTAGAAGCATGATGTGTAGTATAGCTTTATTGTTGTGGCAAAAAATAACTAAACAAAGCAGGAAATACTTAAGTAAATCATGGTACACGAATTGTTTCACAAGGTGGACTCAGTTATTAAAAAGAAAATAATGTTCAACTTGGAGAGTTTTTAGGAGGTTGATTAGTAGAAAAGGAAATAAAGTTTAGATTAAGCTTATGTAAAATAATCTGAAAACCTTCATGTATTTATATATGAGTTTACATATAATTATATTAGCATGGAGAAAAACATGGAAGGAGAATTATTTTGTTTCTCATATGTATTAATGACAAAGAGGGAAAGTAGAGAACAAGGAGAAACAAGTAAAAAAACAAAAGCTTCTGCTCTAAAAATAGAGCATATATGATATACTATGTGTATATCATATATGATATACTATGTGTATCTTTATTCATAATATACATATGTTTTACAAAGTATTTGATAAATATTTTAAGAAATTTTTTTCAGGTAGATATAAAATAATTTAATGTTATAAAATTTTAAAAAATATTTTAAACTAATGAGTATATTCATCAATTCTCATACCCTCTTTTCGTTTTTCTTTTTAATTGCTTTTTTTTTTTAATACTTATTTTTTATGATGCTGAAGATCCAACCCAGGGCCTCACACACGCTAGGCAAGCGCTCTACTGCTGAGCCACAACCTTAGCCCCTTAATTGCTTTAATATAAAATCTTTCAGTATGTTTTTAAAAGTATGTTTTAGTCAATATATTATTTATAATTTGTAAATTAAGAAAGGAAGATCCAAACAAGGTATTTTAATGAGATGTTTTGCCATCATTTACAATTGTAACTTTTAACCAGATTTTTCAGTTATCAGTCTGTTTTTAGTAGACTAATGTGCACTTAAATTATGCCTCACTTTAACATACAGTTGTGCTAATTTAGTGTTTTAAAGTTTAATCTATCATTCTGTAAAGAGATAATGCCTTCTCTTTTCCTCACGTTCTCTTTTAAACCTACCAGCCAAAGTCTTATTTTAAAAGACAAGATAAAGTTGTTGTTATTGTTGTTGTTGTTGTTTTTTAGCCTGGATAAACTGTGTATACCTCAGCATTATTTTATCTATTTCTTAACTCTATTCCTTAAGTTTCCAAAGTAAGTTCATAACTTCTTCAATATAGTTCTCTGGATAAAACCCTCAATTCTCTTCCAAGACTATGATCCAAATGTCTTGAGGTCATCACAAGTTTTGTGATAAGCACTGAAATAATTATAATAATTAATCATAGCCTAGATTTATTGATGTTACCATCTGCCAGCCATTACTTAAAGCATATTACGTATATTACTTCAGTTAATGTTCATGAAACCAATAGGGTAGATACTAATTAGTCCCAGTTAACATGTAAGAAACTTAGATACAAAGAGGTTAAGTACTTGCCTACCGCTTTCTTTTAAAATTGATGAGAGTTAATAAAATAGACATGGAAGATTGTTTTTTCCTAATGTAATTACAAATCCCTATAGCTGCTAAAAAGGAAGGAAAGGATATCTTTATACCAGTCAGTATCACCTCTTAAATATTAACACATCAGTCAAGTTTAAAGAAACCAGCATTAGGGGCTAGGAATGTGACTTAGTGGTAGAGTGTTTGCCTGCCATGCCTGAGGCCCTGGATTCAGTCCCCAGCACTAAATAAGAAAGAAACCATCATGATATATTATATGATGTTGCAAGAATTAAAGAGTGGTCAGGTTTAAAAAGAAAGAAAGATTCTTATGAGAAAACCTAGGAAGATAAAACATTTATTTAGTACTCTTATCTCTAAAAATTTCTCCATAAATATCTATTCAGTTAAAGGATTTTTATATGTTAAAATAAGTTTCTACTAATAAAATTAGTAGATTGCTAAATTTTATGCCATATGTTTTAGAAACAAAATTCATAACTGAGAAATATAAATGCCTATTTTATATGTACATATAAACTTTCCATACAAGTAGAAAATTTAGGTTTATACTGCAGTATTTTAAATATGCAAAATTTAGAGGACAGTCTACAGGACCCACAAGAAAGTCAAATGTTGCATACAGGCAATGATCAGAGTAATAACCTATAGTTAGTAATAACCTATCAAAACACTGATTCCATCTAGCACCTTTTCCTGAAATGTACTCACGTGTAGTTTTTTCAGTTGTTAGGGGTTTTTTCCCTCCTGTGTAATTTGACTCCTATTTCGCTTCTTTCTCCCAGTCTTCCCAAACTAGGACTTCCTATACTGCAGAACTGTTTTAAGTCTCACAGTTAACTTCTGTGCTTCTGTATTTTTGGTTTCCTCAGCTGGAAATACACTTCCTCAATTCTCATTGCATGTCTGATCGTACTTATCCTGTTAAATTGCCAAATGCATTAGCTTAATATGATTGAAAAATTCTTGTGTAGAAAATTTCCACAGCTATTGTATTTGAGCTGTAAAATTTTATAGAATGGACCTACAGTGAATAAGTTGTCCTTTTTAACTTTTTCAGGGTGGGGAGGATGCTGGCAATTAAACTCCCAGCATTGTACCTACAAGACAAGGAGTCTTCCATTGAGCTGCATCCCCAGCCTTTGAGTTCACCCATTTAATATACTTGTAAAATAGTATGTGGTAGTGGAAATGACACAGCTTTGGGATCACAGAAGACTTGTCAAGTATCTATCCACGTGAGCGTGGACAAGTTACATAACTAACTATCCTGAGTATTGTTTTCTTCATTAAATAATGATTTCAGTCATTAAATAATGATTGAAAAGTTTGCTGGGAGGGAAAAATTAAATAGTGTGTATAAAATGCCTTCCAAAATAATTGAATATATTAATTGTTTTTAAAGGATTAGGTTTTTATGGCTCTGGGATTTTATCATAATGTGTTTCACTTGGCCATTTTATAAATGTTCAGCGTAGGAAGACAAAACTTTTTTTATAGTGAAGCCAGATTTGAGCTCACTTAAGACAAAATTTATACACTACTTCACTAAAACTTTTTTTATAACCCTTGGGAAGTTCCTTCTGCTCTCAAGCTGTTTGTCAAGTGATTTTTAGGACCTGATATTGGTATTGACATGCTTGGGGTAACTAATCATTATATATAATCATTTTACAACTTCACGCTAATGAGGCCATTTACAAAATTGCATATTGAAAGAGTAAAAGAGGCTAAAAATTTAGTAAATTCTAAAAGTGATGTGTATCATCTTTTATTAGTAGAAATTAGGAAATTGTTAGATATTGACACACTTGTAAGCCACAGTAGATTATAAGGGAATTTAAATTCTGCTTTAAAATATCAATAAATTTAACATAGCCAGATAATCATTTGCTGTTACTGCTTGTACATAAATACTACTTTTTTTCCTTAGGTGACCAATATCTTTTTAATTTATCCAGACTGTTTCTTTCACTATTGTGTAGCTTCTAAAACATTACTATAGTTTCTGCATTTTGAGAGAGATCCATTTCATTTTTCTTAAAGACTGGGACAGGGAGAAATTACTTGAAGCTTGGATGTCCAACCCAGAGAACTGTTGCCAACGATCAGGTGTTCAAATGCCAACTCCACCACCAAGCGGGTATAATGCCTGGGACACGCTCCCTTCTCCAAGAACTCCAAGGACTACACGCTCTTCTGTCACCAGTCCAGATGAAATAAGTTTATCGCCTGGAGATTTAGACACCAGTTTGGTATGGTTTAGTGTATTACGGTTTAGTATAGTATGGTGTAGGGTGGCTATAGTATACTTCCCATAGCTTTGTTCTTAGTCTTTTAACTTTTAAATTATTTAATGTTATTCCATGGAATGTCTAGTTGTATTCTTGTAATTGAATCCTATACTCTTCTTTAAAGGTTCCATTATTTTCATGCTTTAGTAAATGCTTATTATCACAGAATATTTTTGTGATATGTAAACTATAGATCAAAACATAATAGTTTGGAGAAACCATCTACTCTATTTTCACTTAAAAGCTTCAGATACTAAAATATTGAAAACTGAAATTGTGGTATGTACTTTAAACCAAAAATGTAAAAAAACATTTCTATGATTTCTTGAAAGCTACTAATTTTTAAACATTTTCAGTATATTGATGGTCATATATTTATTTCAGCAAAGCTTCTGGAGTTTGTCATCCAGATGCATTTCCATAATAAATAGTTCCTCTTTATTAAGGTATAGTATTGCCCTTTGTGGATTTTTAGATTGGCATATCATTGGTATGCTTTATAGGAAATTTTGATGTTTCTTGAATGGTTCAACCACTCAAACTTTGTGATTAATATGAAAGCACTCCTTGTTTCATCTAACCCATTTTGGAAAGCAGAATCCTACTTTCTATTAATTCTCAACTATCACAAGATAAAGTTTGCTTCTAGTAAGTCATTGTTGAGAAGATACATAGTTTTATATCAGGGTTCCTTGCTTAGAAAGCTTTAAATTGTTACTCTTAATATCCTGAGTTGCTGTGTTAAAAGCACAAAGATAACTCTGGTTTTATAGATTGTCCAAGTTAAGTGTAGGTTGAAGGACATGATACTGAAGTGGTTATTTTGCAGCATGCAATTTGATCTTGACCTGAATAGATTATAATGATTTTTTTCTTGCACTTCCTTTTCCAAATTGCACAGATGCTGATAAATACATGAAATTAAGATTTGACTTTTGCATTTAAGTATTTAAGTTGTATAATAGTTTATAGTGAGATAGAAATTGTATGTTATTCAAAGATAGGCACTCTAACTGCCCTTATAACTTGTTAACACCTAATGTTAAAATTTATGATTACCATTCCAGTATTTTTACTTTTAAATAATGAACAAAGCAAAAGTATTAATGCCCAAAATGAATGTTTTTCTCTCTGCAAAATATGACTGTTGAAGTCATTGTTCTTCTCCATCTCCAGTGTGACATTTGTATGTGCAGTATCTCTGTATTTGAAGATCCAGTGGATATGCCCTGTGGACATGACTTTTGTAGAGGATGTTGGGAGTCGTGAGTATATGAGCAGCTTAGTATTTCTTACTGCATGGTAGCATTCTGATTTGGTAATAAAATTGTTTGCTTTCATTACTTACTTTTATGGATTATTTATATTCGTTTCAGAGTTACCCTGAAATTTATTGTACTTAATTATTAAAGAAGAATTCTTTTTCTTATTTTGTCATCTTTCCAGCTACTTTAGTTATTGCTGTTTAGCTTAATATAATGTACTTTAGGAAACAAACAACTATTCTAAATAAATTTTCTTAGTATTTTAATGTATATAACATCTAATGTAAATGCCAGGCCTCCACCTAAATTTCAAGAATCAGTTTCTGTCTTAGACCTAAGAATTCTAATCATTTGTTTTTGTGCTTTCTCTTAATTTTTGTTGATGAATAACCTTGAAAGTCTATAAAAATGTGGGTGTTTGAAATTCCTTTTTAGTCTATTCAAAGTTAAATGTTTCTGCTAGATATGGTTGAGGTGGGAAATGTATTTTGTTTACATCTATTTTCCTTCTCATTACCTTGCTAAGATTTATATTTTCTTATTATCCATTAACTGCTTTGAGGTTGCACTTAAATGTAGAGATCTGGGGAACACCAGGTGGGTAAGAGAACAAGAAGAAATTTGAGCAAATTTTTGGGGTTTTGTTCTGTTTTATTTTAACAGCTTTGTTGGGGTATAGTTTTCATACATCAAACCACATGTTTAAAATAAATAATTTGATAAACTTTAACGTATATATACACCTGTGAAACCATCACACAATCAAGGTAATAAATATATCAATAAATATAAATATATTCATTTCCTCTTGAATCCCTCATGCCCTTCTCATTCTGCCTCCCGACACCCAAAGCTATAGGTTTACTGGCCTGTGGTTCTGGTTTCATTTCGAATACATCTTTTTTTTTCTCTTTTCCAAAATGGAATTATGTGGCAAAGGTTTTTTTGGGGGGAGGGGGGGAAGCTACTGCTTTTCAAAAGTCAGAATAAGTAAGAGTATCTATTTATTCTTTTTAAAACACAAGCTAGACTTTACTCTGAGTTTAATAGATAATGAATTTACAAAGGCCAAAATTCACAGTCTAAAGCAGTCTTTCATTTATTTCTGGAGGCTAATATCTCTCCCATGTACAGTATTTAGCTTAAAATTGTTAACTATAATGTAGTAGGATGTATTACCTGGATTTTACCAGGTTTGCAGCTTTTGGCTTTGGTTCATATCTGAAAACAGCTCATCCAGGAATTACTTGAATTTTTTGAGCTTCTTTGATCTTTCTCATGGGAACCATCTCTTATACTCATCACAGACTAGCCATGAGAGTTTATGGCAAGATTCACATTTGAAAGATCTAATTATTGTTTTCCAAAGTATCTTACCATCCTACCTAGGTTTCTGTGCCCTTTCCCTGTAGATCTTGTCAAATCAAACATAGGTAAAGCAAGTTCCATGTTAAGTGATTCATGTTGATAAAATCACTTTTAAATTAATTGCAAACTTTACACAGGCTTATAAAAAAAGAAATTCCTATCTAAAAATGAGGAAGAGTTTTTAAAGGTCTGCAAATAATTTTGAAAGTTCCTCTATCCTGCTCTTCCCAGTGCCCCTATCTTCTCAGTCCAGCCAGATCTATGCCAAAGGTTTGAAAAAAGAGAATTATTACTTGCCACCCAGGCTAGAACTTACTGCCTGATAGGATAAGAGCTCAGGTTCTAGATATAATAGGCTTCTAGGTTGTGGATTTCAGCAGTGCTATATATTAATTGTTGATTTAGGTAAATGGTAACCTGTCTGTACCTCAGTTTTCTAATTTATAAAATGATGTAAATAGTAAGTACTTCATAGGATTAATTTATTAAGTAACAGTATATATATAAAGTGCTTGGAACAGGGCATATGTAATCATCTTCCTAAGCATTTTAATAAGCAAAGAGCCTATCTGTATGATAACATCTTGAAGGTGATACACGAAATTAAAAATATTGGTAGAATTTGCTCCAGATTTCTTTTACAAAGGCAAAGATAGCTTTAAAATATAAATATCTATATATATTAGAGCTAGGTTTTACGGGAGAGGACTACCTGTTGGAAAACTTCTGTGAAGTGCCAGGATGAGGGTTGTGGAGGTAGAAGGAGATAGAGAAAGGGAGCAGGTCCATTGAGGTCTCAGTAAGGTTGATTTTTTTTTTTCTTTTAAGTACAATGGAATTAAGAGACTGAGAAGAAAAGGGAAAAGATATTATAATTAGAATCATCAAACTATTGATAGTGATAAATAGAAGAGGTTTGATTCATTTGTCCTGTTTTCCATTGAATTTCTGTTTAACAAAATCTTAAGTCCCATATAGTCAGACAGAATCAAAAGTTTGTTTCTTGCGTCTCCACAGGCAGTATTAAATATAACAGCAATAATCCTTGCTAAAATTTGTGAATTCTTCAGTGTCAGGCACTATATATATATTTCATGTGTATAATTTGCATAACAGACCTGAGGATAATAATATTATTATTATTCCTATTTTTTAAAAAATTTTTGTAGTTGTGTATGGACAGCATGCTTTTTATTTTATATGTTTATTTTTTTTAATGTGGTGCTAAGGATCGAACCCAGTGCTTCACACATGCTAGGCAAGTGCTCTGCCATTGAGCTACAGCCCCAGCCCTTATTATCCCTATTTTTCAGAAGAGTTAACTAAATTGATTAAGACTATTAAGCTGAAAACCTAAAATTTTTTAATTTAGAATCTTGTTCTTAATGATTAATTCACCTTGGGCTATATTCCTCCCACTTTACAGGATGCCTTTTCCTTACTAACTCAACAACAGAGCAGGACATAGAATTCATTTTAGTATTTTTCAAAATGATATATAAGGAGAAACCATTTTCTTTTAAAAAGAAAAGCCCTGGATTCTAGTGCCACCCTCAAATATCTTTAATTATCTTTGGTTCATTTGCTTGAAGATATAATATATTGAGAATTGAATATGTCCTTTCTAAGCCACTCATTTCTGAATTTTTAGTGTTAAATAAAAGTGTTTCATATTTTTAGAGATAATAAAGCAAAATGGAAACATAAAAATAACTGAAATACTCAAGTGTGTGTGTGTATATGTGTGTCTACATGTCTACATATATGCTCATAAAATAAATGGCTGGACAATTAATAAGTGCTAGAGTTGATATTCCGCAATCTAGTAGGTGTGCGTATGTTTGCTCATGCACTGGACACTAAACTCAAGTCTAGTGCATGCTAGTACACAGTCTACTACTAAGCTACACCTCCGTCCCATGTTAGTATTAGCTTAATTATACTCTTAACAGAAAATTCAGAATAAAGAAAAATTCTTAAATGTGCAAATAACTTACATTGTTGCCCTTTTTTCTGTCAATTGCTGCTTTAACAGGTTTTTGAATCTGAAAATTCAGGAGGGTGAAGCTCACAACATTTTCTGCCCTGCATATGATTGCTTTCAACTTGTACCTGTGGACATTATAGAAAGCGTAGTTTCTAAGGAGATGGACAAACGATACCTACAATTTGATATTAAGGTATGCTGCCAATTATTTGTCTGATTTCCATAATTTCAATTTTATTAAATCTATATAACATGATATTTGTTTTCATTTTATTTTTGAAAATATAGAATAATGGCCTCTAATGTACGTTTCTCAGAAATATTACATAAAGGAATGGGTGGCATTAAAGTTTTAAGCCAAAGCATTATTTTATAAAATAAAAGTAAAAATGAAAGCCTGGCATAATAGTTTACCAAAAAAATTGTTATAGCTCAGAGGTATTTACTAATTTGCATATTATACTTTTATAACTAATTGGCTAAGATGATGTTCAAAGCATATAGTACCTGCTTTAAATTTTCCAAAACATCTGATGCTCCTACAAATAAATATTTAGAAATAGAAATTTAGATATAGCAATAAATTATTTTAAGATAAATATTTAGTATTTTTAACTTGGAAACTTACAATTTTTTTTAATTGCAGTAATAGTTTCATATAAATATTATAACATTTCAACTTTTTCCCCCCAGTGTTTATTTTCATTCAGGAGTTATTCAGAAGTATATATAGGTTACTCTCTTTTTTTGTGGAATTTAAAAGTTAAATTTTAATTGCTTTGTGCAGTTAATGGACTTTTAAAAGAGAAGTCCTGCTTTTATAAAATAAAAAGCATCATCATAAATTGATTTTTTAATATATATATGTATATATATTTAGTTATAGATGGACAAAATACCTTTATTTGTTTTTATTTTTATGTGGTGCCTGGGATTGAACCCAGTGCCTCACACATGCTAGGCAAGCACTCTACCACTGAGCCACAACCCTAGCCCCATAAATTGATTTTTATGTGTTATAAAGATGCCATTTAAAAAATTAACTGTTCTAATACACTAGTAATTATATGCAAAATTCTACTTATATTTTACCAGAAAAGTAGCACATTGTATGAGAAAACATTTTTAAATTACACATTTTCTGAGTAAATAATTGCATTTTGACTTTAGCTTCATTTACCTATTTTTTAGATTAACGAAAACAAAATTTTTAAGTCATGTTATTACTAAGGTAAAAACGTCATTTTTCCTTAAGTTTTTTTTTAATGCTTTCTAATTTTAAGTGTTTTTGAGACTGATAATTTCTTATATTTTCATTTTTTTTTAACTTCAAATTACTGTGGAGGTACTCTTTATGTTAGAATTTAGAGTTAAAATGTTTTTTGTTATTACTATTTAAACAGGCCTTTGTTGAAAATAATCCTGCCATTAAGTGGTGCCCTACTGCAGGCTGTGAAAGAGCAGTCAGACTAACAAAACAAGGGTCAAATACATCTGGATCTGATACACTCAGTTTCCCACTGCTGAGAGCTCCAGCTGTGGATTGTGGGAAAGGACATCTCTTCTGCTGGTTAGTACATGACAAGATGACATCAGCCTTCCTAACAGTTTTTAAAGAAATGTTCTCTCTCAGCCTTTACATTGTAGTATACTTGATATTATTCTTATTAATTAAAAAAATATAGTAAATAGTAATAGTTGATATTTATCATGTGTTGATAAATATCAAGCACTATGCCAAATATTTTTAAGTATGAGATTCTTCCAGTGATGCTCTGCATAGAATGCTGATATTATGTTCATTTTACCGATAAGGAAATTCAACCACAGAGATGTTTCCCAGGGTTATATAGCTAGGAAATGGTGGAAAAGGGTTTGAGCCCAGATATGTTTGATTCCAACCGTATTAGAAAATGCTAACCATAGATTAGAAAATGTTTACCGTTTTAACTTTTCTTCTTACTATATAAATCTTCAGCAGTGATTCTTAACCAGTTATGCTCAGAATTGCTAAGGGATCTTTTCCAGATTTTTGTCCTTGGCCATGACAAGTAAGATTTTGATTTAATAGTTTTTTTTTTTTCTTTTGAGTGGTGCTCCAAAAACCAAACAACACAGCAACAAAAAACCACAGAAAAAGAAAAAAAATGTTTCAAGTTATTCTAATGCATAGTCCTAGTTAAGAACCGATGACTATAGGCTTTTTATTTCATGTGTTTTAGTTAGTTTCCATTACCTGGTAAGAACTTCACAAGGATATGTAACTTTGTATGCTCATTTGACTATATTTGTCAGCCATCAACATTCTGCTTATTCAAAGTAAATCCAATTAGCTGTTTTGGATTTATAAATAATATAAATTTAATAAATATAATTACTCCTACCCTGGCAGGTCTGTTTTTTACCTTTCTCATCAACATGAGATAAAAATATTTACTGACCTACCAGCCTATATATATAATACCAACCTCTAGGTCAGGGTCAGCAAACTAATATCCATACCTGTCTCTGAAAATGAAGTTTTATTGGAACACCGACACACACTTTCATATTTATGTGTTGTATGGGTCTGCTTTGGGGCCATGGCAGCAGAATTGTGTAGTTGGAACAGAAACTGTATGGCCAACAAAGCCCTAAATATTTACTCTTTAGTCCTTTACAGAAAAATTTTGCTGAACCTTGCACTAGGTGCTTGGATATAGTGATTGATGAAAAGAAAACTTTCATCTTTACTATTTTCATGGCTAAATCAGTCTATGCAAGTAAAATATTAGCCACAAAATGCTGAATAATAGGTTATACACATATGCCTTAAGTCGTTATTCAAAACATTTAAAAGAAAACATTTAGTCTTTGAAAGTTTTGCACTTTTTTAAAACTTTTTCAAAATTATTTCTAACCAGTTACACATGACAGTAGAAAGCTCTTTAATTCGTTGTACACAAATGGAGCAGAATTTTTCACTTCTCTGGTTGTACATGGAGTCACACCTTTCATGCAGTCAGACATGTACCTAGAGTAATGCTGTATGTCTCATTCCATGATGTTTTCTACCCTTTGCCCCTTCCCCCTCTCCTTTGCCCCATCCAAAGTTCCTCCACTCATCTCATGCCCCACTCCATTATGGATTAGCATCTACTTATTAGAGAAAACATTTAGCCCTTGGTTTTTTGAGATTGGCTTACTTCACTTAGCATATTCTCCAATTCCATCCATTTACCTGCAAATGCCATGATTTTATTCTCTTTTAATGCTGAGTAATATTCCATTGTGTATATGTACCACAGTTTCTTTATCCATTCATCTAGTGAAGAGCATCTAGATTGGTTCCACAGTTCAGCAACTGTTAATTGTGTTGTTATAAACATTGAAGTGACTGCGTCACTGTATTATGCTGTTTTTAAGTCTTTAGGGTTTAGACCCAGCAGTGGGATAGCTGGGTCAAATGATGGTTCCATTCCAAATTTTCTAAGGAATCTCCATACTGCTTTCAGATTGGTTGTACCAATTTGCACTTCACTAGCAATGTATGAGTGTGCCTTTTCCCCCACATCCTTGCCAACATTAAAGTTTTGCACTTTTATTATTCATAATTGGTTTACTAACTCCCTCACTAACCATGAGATGTAAGAGTGAAACTATAGAATAAGATGGGCATTAAATGCACAGAAACTTGGTTGGCCAATAAAGGGAATTTAGATGAATATGAACCTATTTTGCTGTAAAGTAAGAATACTAAAGTAATAAAGGACCTTTCTCTTCTCAGCCAGTATTAGGTTTCTTGAGAAAATCAAACTCCAGTGCCTTCAGACACCATTTATATGCATCCTATGCCTCTAAAATGGTACTGATAGGAAGTCATGGGGAAAAAGTGACAAAAATTATCCCATAGATCATTTTAAAAGTTTTCTGGTTGAGTTCATTTTATGAGGAATCCTTGTTGGAGGAAAGCTGGGTTTTAAAGTGTTAGTTGAAGATGCTACAAAGGAAAAAAATTAGTAAAATATCTAGAAGATAAATAAGAAGATAGCATTTGCTAAAATCAGAGAAAAGTCTTAAAGGAAAAAAGAAAACCTGTGATTAGCATTGCCTTAAACTGTGGTTTCTTTGGTCTAGCTCTTACTAATTTTCATCATAGTTTAGGTTTTACTTTCTTATTTTCTTATTATTTTTGTATTCTCCAAGTAATAAGTTTGGTTTAACTCAAAACAAGTACACCTACCCAAATAAATAGATTTTTAAAACTGTGTTGTGTGTGTGTGTGTGTGTGTGTGTGTTTGTGTAAAATGCTATAAACTATATATCTTGTCCAACATTTGGAGAAATTTTCACCTTAGTCTTTCTCTTACCCTAAAATATGAAGTTGGTTTTATTCAAACACTGGATACTTGTGCGCCAAGATCTCAGGCCAATGTGATTTGAATTTCAACCCAGTTAAAAGGATCTGAGAATGAGCACATGGACTGAGGTCATATTTGCCATTTTATTTGCTTTTCCTCCTATTCATAAGGATAGTAGAGATTTTAGCAAATAGAATCATCATTTTCTGGGCACAGCACCTGAAGGAACTTGAATGAGATAAAAATAGGTTATATGAAGGACAAATTCTGATTTAAGTTCTTGAACTTAATCTTGTTGCCTTTCAGTTATGATATTCATTAAGCTATAAGATTGTGAGATAGATTGTCTAGGATTTGTGTATTGCCTTCTTCACTTCTCTAGGCATTAATTTACACCCCTTGTTTATACATTTTTTTAGTATGAGCTGTTTATTTTTGTTTTTATGTTCTTAATCTCTTACTCTTTTTCATATGGTGTAAGAGCTCTAACTATGATCAGAAATTACAAATAGAAATGGTCACATTTTCTGCCACCTTTATCTCTTATTTCACTGAGAAGCCAAATCTTTTGCAAAAGGCATCTCTACAATAGATCTTCACAAAATAAAGCCATGTGACTCTGCTTTTGCTTCCTTTGCTTTCCTCAGAAACCTCAGAAATATTTTTTAAAAGATGATTACAGAAACCACAAAATGGCAATAATAATTTTTTCTTCTTAATAGCGCCATGTGACTGAATCAGTTGAGCCATGCCCAAGAGATGTCTGCTTGGATATAATTGAATATATGTGTTGTTGGGAGATAAGGTAATAGAAGGCATTTTCTCTTCCTACCACAGGATAGTTTATTCACCAACAAATTCTTTGCCCTCTGTAACTAAACGTAGGATGCTTTTTCCTCCTAGCCTTTTTTTTTTTTTTTTACATTTCTTTTTTAGTTGTATTCAGACACAATATCTTTATTTTATTTATTTCTTTATATGATGCTGAGGATCTAACCCAGGGCCCCATACATGCTAGGTGAGTGTTATTCCGCTGAGCCACCTCCCCAACCCTCCTCTAATCTGGACAAAATTATTTGCAGATGGTATTTAAAACCTGGAAGGACTTTGACTTGAGCCAATGACCTGTCCCCATTTGTTTTTATAATAAGTAGAATATTCTACTGTTTAACTTCTCTGCCCTCTAAACTAACACAAAGTCCCTCTTAAAGATTCATTGTCTGAAGTATTTCTTAGTCACCAAAATCTTGTCTGTCCAGAGAAAAGCTTAAGTTTAACCTAGAGAGTAGGTTATTTCTCTCCTGTATGGCTGGTCTTTAATTTTAATCAGTAGTATCTCCATTGGAAACTGAAACTTACTTGGAATTCATCTTCTAAACCCATAAACAGTTAAATATATTTTAGAGTTATTTGCTCAAATTTACTGGCAAGAATATTATAAATAATAATATGGTTGAGCTCTTAATTTGTCACCCAGCAATAGAGCATTTAGGTACTGGAACAACAACTATTTTGAAGGCAGTGCATCTTTCAAAATAGTTCAAAATAGAATCACCAAGAAACAAATTTAAACCTCTGATAGGAAAATTTGAATCATAGTGATGCATCAGTTAAGAAAAAGCAGTATCAGCTTGTAGCCTCTTGAGTTTCCTGTAAATCAGAGTATAGTGTACAAATTTGTCATATATTCAGGGAAAACTCCAAAAGTGAATGTCTTTGCATTAAAATTGTCAGTTCATTCAATGCCCATTTTCTCCAGAGTCACAAAATAACTTTGGTAACACTTACTCCCTTCTTAGGATTATGGATCTTAATTGAGGTAAAGCAGTAGTTTCATGCTTTATTTGCCTTTCCACAGACTTCTCAGGCAAAGAGACTCTCTGAGAGTGCCCTGGGGAAAATAGATGAAGTTATCTTTATTTGTGGACCTAATAGTTGCATTTTGTCATTTCTGGCAAAATCAGTGTCAGACCCTTAGTTTAATGGCTCTAGTTATGTGAAAAAGAAAGATGTTTTTTCAGGTTAGCAGCATCTAGCTATTTAAGAATCACAGTCTTGCCGACTAGCAAAAGATGCCTTAGCTCTTCACAAACCAGAAATAAAAGCAGTATTTGCTTTATTTGGCAAGAGTTCAATCATAAGACCTTGTTTAAATATCATATACATCCTATACAAAATAATATATCTAAATAAATGCTGCTTGAAAGTTCAATTTATCAAATTTCAGTAGAGCACAGATTGATATTATTATAGGGGACATAGAACCTGCATTTGAGACAGCTCTACCACTACTTAGCTGTGTGACTTGGTGATCATTCTCTTTTGTAATACAGTAAGAAAATAGATGTCTTCTTATCTGATGCAGACAACTTGAAGAGTTCCAAAGCCAAACATTTAGTTCAAATTTTATTTCATTTACTTTGGCAGATTACTGGACCCTTCTGTGCATTTAAAATGGGAATAAACCAATTTCAACGTGTTGGTATAATGAGTTTAGAACATTGCCTGATAAACTTAAAAAAATGTTGTTTTCTAAAGGGATAATTCTAAAAATGAGGATTTCTAACTGAATTCACAGTCTTGATTATTAAGTTCTAAACTAACATTGAACTAGAATTGCCAACTTCTTGATAGCAATTTCTTCCATCAAATGATGATGCTTGAAACTTTTAGTAGATC